CTGGCTTTGAAACCTGAGATAAGGAATCTGCTGCGAAGACAAATTTGCTGACACAAATTAGTGAATAATGTGCCTTGTAAATCCCTACCAGCCACTGGACCCATGTCTGTGCTCTTAAACATTTTCAAAGAACTTACTCTATGCCATGCACTATGCCAAATCCTTACACGTAACAGCTTGCTAAGTTCCTAAATCTGCAAAAAGTCTCCCCATTTTTAAAGCTGAGGTAACTGAGGCCCAGAGAGGTTAAGTAACCTGATCATTGCCCAAGGTTACACAGCACATACTTGGAGGAGCCATGATTCATCCCAGGCAGGCTGGCCCAGAGCCGAGACACCTCCCAGCTCCACACGGCGAGTGTCCTTCCCTGCTCCCCTCCACACATACTTCCCTTCTCTCCTGCCCTGTCCAGATGTGAGATTTTTTTTTTTAGGTCAGCTGGGACTTTAAGAACTCACTGGCTTTGATATTATCTTCTCTAATCTGCCCCTTGAGTGCAAGGTGAAGAAAATTAAATTTGGGTCCCACCCTCCGTCTCCCTAACTCTAAGTGGAACATATGAGGGTTCCCATCAGGGGCCATGAGGAGAGTTGACAGGAACTGTGACTCCCTTCAGGATACGTTCATTCATTATAAAGGCAGGTTTTGGGGGGGGGCTCTGTTTCCCTCCCTCTTGCTCCTGCATTGCATGGGTGGAGGAGAAGGGCCAGGCCCTCCTTGCCTTCCTCCTCCAAGTGAAGGCCTACTGGGCAGCTCCTCTGCAGGAGGTCTGGGAGGAAAGGAGGAGGCCTGGCAGCCAAGTTTGCTAGCAATATATCTGAAATGCACTGCAAACCCCATTTAGCTCCTGCTGACTGTGGTTAGGAACCCAGAAGAAAGAAGGGGCTATTCTTGAAGCTCCCTTCTGTCTCCAACAAGCTGTCATCTGGTGTCCTCTATGTTGTCCACTTCTGGGACAGCTGAGCTGTGAGTGGCTAAGGAGTTCAGCCTTGACCTAGGTCAGAATACTCCTGGGAGCTCTCCAATCCAGAAGTTTGTTAGGATTATTCTGAAGAAAGCTTCACTTCATAGAAATCGGGGACATTGGCTGCCTTTCCTCACACCACTGACCAAGAGAACGTGATGCACATGCACAGTTAACAACGGAGCAGAGAAGGTGGGCGAACAGGCTGACTCAGGGCTACCCACACAAATGCTAGAGGACTTCCAGCTGACGCTTGAGCCTGGCGAGCTCAGATGCCTTTCCACTGCCAAAGTTGTCACACTAAACATTTCTTTTATGTCTTTTGCTTAGGCTTAGCCATTCTTCTATATGGAGAACTTTGTAGGATTTATCTGAAAGTGACTTTGAAATGAAGAAGGAAGAAAATCGACATTGAAAATTCCAGAGTGTTCAAGTATCAAATATTTTGAAATTCTAGTGTTTATAAATGGTACTCACTTGGGATTGAAAGCAGCCAAGTCAGTGTGTGCAGCATCCATAAATAAAATACAAATCAGTTACAATGGAAATAAGATTAAACTGACAGAGAGAGAATGCCCCCGAACACGCTCTTATGATGAAGACTGGCAATGAGGGCTAGTGTGCCAATCAGACTGGGTTTTGCAGTAAAACTAGGAATATGGGACAATTCATAAGCACGAGGCCCAGCGGCTGGGAAAGAAACCCTCCCCGTTTAGTTCCCCATCCCCAGTCTCCTAAAGGTCTAGAACTTTCCTTTTTATATTCTAATCAAAACTAACTTGTCCTGGTTCCAGTTCCTTTATTCTCTGTGAAGAAAGTGAAAATCCAATCTTACTAGGATTAGTGGTTAATAACGGCTCAGTATTACTAACTAGTCGCTCAACAGAGCAGTGGTTCTCAAACTTGAGAATGCATCAGAATCGCCTGGAAGGCTTGTTAATATACAGCTGGCCCTACCCCAGACTTTCTGACCCAGCAGGTCTGATGGGGCCCAAGAATTTGCATTTCTAACAAGTTCCTAGATGGTCCTGATGCTGCTGGGGGCCACACTTTCAGAACCATGGCGATAACATGATCCAAAGTGACGAGGTGACATCAGGCACCTGGGCAAGGTCAGAGGGGATGCCATTTGGAGACAAGTGGATATCTTTTTGCCCCTCAAATCCTGTCTTAAGGCTCCTATATGCCTGTTTCTAGGGTGCCCCTTGATTTGGTTTCTCACACGATTTGGTGGACACATGATGTTCAGACTGACCAAAGCTCTACACATGACCCCAGAATTTGGACCGTTTCTAAAAGAGAGCAATTACGTGTACTTTCAGAAGCTTTGTTTGTGGGAATATTTGTGTTCTGTGCAATGAATCCACAGTCCAGAGGGCACAAGCAGCAAACAGGAGTGCCCTGATGGGGCCCAGCCTGCAGAGGCAGGATTCGCTGTAGGGCAGAACAAAAAGGTCCTGCAGATAAGATCTCCTTGATCCCCTGGGCAAGCAACATGTTCCAGTTCAGGAAAAAGGACAGCTTCACCCATCACTGGAGTTTAATGAAATGACTCAAAATTAATGATAGAGAAAAATGAAAGAAAAAAATTAAGTCTAGATTTCTTTACAAAATCAGTTCAGTGATGCAGGGAGAGAGGATACAGCCAGAAATACCCTCCCTGAGGTCAGGACATCTTTATCTCCACAAGGCCTCGTCTAAAGTAGAGTGCACAGTAATCGTGCAGCAAATATTTTTTATGGACTTATGATCAATTTTTTAATCTATAGTATTATTCAGAGGCTGAACAACACAATATCCATTTCTTTCCTCCAACCCAATTTGCAAACCTCACAAGACTTCCATGAGACTGGTAGAGTGTTGATGTCCCTCTTTTATAGCCGTGAAAGCCAAGGTTCAGTGTGACCTTGGGTGGCCTCTGGACCTCAGTTAGCTCTCTGTGGTCTTAGCCTGGTGGTCTTCAGAGATACATGAATGGGTCTCTGGCCCCTGCTCTGTGGCATTCTGGGCACTCTGGGCACATCCCACTGAAGGCATTTTGGAGCATAATTATGATTGTGAAGGAGGCCAGGGGTTCAGACTATGGGAAGCCCTAACTTTACAATTTTTCTGGTCAGAAAGGAACCATAGGAGTGGCACTGAGTATTATCAGGTTGACCAGTTAGTTGATGCAGCCTCCTGTCCAGTGCAGGGATCTTTCTTATAATACCCTTGGCAGATGGACAGCTAGGGAATGTCCAAGTAACTTGTGACCACCCAAGAGGGCCAATACTCTCAGGGTGGCGGTTCCCACCACTCTAAGTTCTTCCCTGAGTTCAGCCAGCAGCTGGTTCCCTAGAGCGTCTGCTCCTCGTTCCTTGTTCTGCGTCCTGTAGTTACACAGGGTGAACCTGGCCCCCCTGTAACATGACATTCCTGTCACACCTCTCCAAGGTGCTGAATCACTCCAGGCTCTCCAACTGTCCTTCAGATGACATGGTTGCCAGGCCTTGCCTCACCCTGACCTGCCCTACACTCTGACGTGTCCCCATCTGTAAGGATGTTCATCCCTCTGGTACAGTCTCACATTACACACTGGGAGCGATGTCAGGGGGATCTCATGGTATCATGCTCTCATGAAGCTGGGAGGGGTTTTAGGCCTCATCAGGTCTACCTCTGGCCTAGAGCAGGAACCTGGGCAGCATTCCTGACAGGTATGGCCTCCCCATCAGTGCCACACAGAGGCAAAGCAGGCCTCTTCCCTTCTCGGGGTGTTCCTGATCACTCCTGATTACAACCCTGGGCTCTGGTATCATGACCCCCGTCAGAGCTACTGTCCCCTTGGCTTTCTTCCAAACACTGGGTCTAAGCTCCTGCATTTGCTCCCTTGGGACAGTAGGTGTCTTCCCAAGCAGGCTCAGCCTCTTGCATTTGAGTAGAGAGCTGTAATGCAGAGGGGTGGGTGGGTGGGGGCCGAGGGCACCACTGAGGTTGCTGGTCACCTGTGTCCGGAGCAACGCACTCGCATTTGTAGGTGGTGATGAAGTCGGGCTTAAAGTCCATGTTGATGGGGTAGTACTTGAAGGCACCGATCATCTTCTTGATGGCATCGTAGATGAAGATGAAGCTGATGAGGGTGGAGAAACCCTCCTCGGTGAAGCGGGTAATATACTTGATGATAAAGCTGGCATCAGTGGCTACCAGGATAAGGCACTGGATGGCTGAGTGTAGGCCAATCCAGAGGCGGAACTCCATGTAGTCCAGGCCGTTGCCTCTGGAAGGCAGAGAAAAGTGGGGGGGCCTCCAGCTTAGGGCTCTGGGCTGTGCTTGGCTCCCCAGACCCACTCTGAGTGGCTCATCTGCCTCTCCTGTGACAGAGATGGTCTCCCAGAAACTGCAAGAGGACTGGGGACTGGGGACTGGGACAATTCCTGGGTGGGGTTGTCTGGGCCTTGAGAATTCTGGGAAAGAATCTCATGGGGGTGGCAGGTAGGTGCTAGGACATCTCAGTTTTCATAATTTGGAACAAACACCAAGAGTGAATGAAAAAACAAGGAATTCCAGACTGACAGAGCTGGGGCGGGCCTTAGAAATAGCCTCATGTTGGAGATGAGGCATCTGAGCCAGGAGTGGTGATAGGAGCTGCCCTGGTTACAGCGTAGCTTTCCGACCTCCAGCTCAAGACTTTTCACACACTGCACTGACTTCCAAGTCATAATTGCTCACAAGTAGAGTGGTATGGGTTTTCTCTTCTCATCTTGCCTGGATATCTCCCTATCAGGTATGCTAATTTGCACTAAGATGGCTGTTAGGCAGGAAGCTGGAGGGGGTCAGCAGGGGCCACCTGGTAGTCCTTCACACAGGTAAAGACCAGCTTTGGTATCTCCTCCCCCATGCCTCCCCTTTGGGGTTATTCTCCCACCCGACCTTGGTAAACTCCACCAAGGGGCACCTACTTGCTAAAGTCGAAGAGGAGCTTCTCGAAGATGAGGATGGGCCCTGTGCTGCTGAGGATGATGAGAGGCTGTCCCGAGAAGAGGCAGAACAAGGAGCCAGCCATGGCAGTGCCGAGGAAGCTCTCCATCACTCCCTGGGGGCATGAGGAGGGTGAGGGGCCACGGACACAGGAGAAGGGGGCGCAGCTATCTGCCAGGGGCCCAGGCCACAGTGCTCATCCTTTATTCCAGGCCCTCTCCTCCCCAAATTATCTCCATCACTTACTCCACAACCTCCATAATCACCAGCATCACTCTTTCCAATTCCACTTGGATAAATGTCATATGTGACTTCCTTTTGGCAACCTAAGGCCCTGAAAACAGGGCTGCCAATGGTTCTTCTTGTCCCCGTGCCCATTCTTCTACTAGAGGACTGCCCATTCATCTGTGTAATCATTTAGTCATTCAAACATCTCCTCCCGGTTTTGACAACTCAAACTGTCTGTAGATATTGCCCAATGTTTCTTGGGTGCTCAAAACTGCCACTTGTTGAGAACCACTGCCAAGGAGGGCGATAAGCTGAGATAAGGTCAGGGTGCTATAGGAGCACACAGTAGGAGTGAAAAGGTGGTCAAGAAGGCCTCCCAAGAGGTAGATATGTGGAAGCTGAGACCCAAGAATTGAGCAGGGAATTGACAAGGAGAAGAGGGTAAGTGGAGTGATGAGAGTGTCCCAGGAAGAGGGAACAGTGTTTACAAAGGCGGGGCGTGAAAGGGAGCAAGTCTCTGAAGAACTGAAACATGATCAGCATTGATGGGAAACAGAATGCAGAATGAGTGGAGGACAGGAATCTGAGAAAGGGAACCCTGGAAGATGAGGCGTGAGAGACAAGTAGGACCACATCATGAGGGTGGCCTGAGAGGCTGGATTCTATCTGTGGATAGCTGGGTGAACCATGGTGTCATTCGCTGTGCTGGTGGAACAGCAGGTCTGGAGGGAAGATAATAGATGGAATGCAGGCCCTGTGAGCTGGGGGAATCCCCAGGGGCAACTATATGGACATGCCCAGGAGGCAGCTGGATGTTGGACCTGTAGCTCAGGAGAATGGTGTGGGCTGGAGATAGGCATTCAATTTATCCGGGAAAATGGGTCTTTACCTTAATGCTCTGAGCTTTCTAATTGTTATATCTCAATTATAAAGGCCTCCTTCAGAGAAGACCCTTGCTTGGGTCTCAAGCTAGTGTCTGCTGAGCTGATGTCTTCCTCAGGGAAGACTGTGTCGTTGTCATAGTAACAGTTTACCATCTTTCTAAAAATGTCTTAACTCCAAGCTAAGAATTTTTTTTTTCCAAGCTAAGAATTTAAGGTTGATTTTTTAAAAAAAAGTTTGGGAAGAAGGCCACAATTAACAACTCAATTAATTAACTCAATTGATTAAGTTCATCCAAGCATCAGTGGGAAAAGTATCAAATAAAGCAGATGATTCCCCTTGAGAGTTTGGTCTATTTACATCATCCTTAAATTTGGTCTTTAGTAACATGATTTAGCCTTAGATCTTTTAATAATGTTGCTTGTCATTAATTTTTTGAAGGGTAAAGGGTTACTTAAAGTAATGATTTGAACCTGGATGGTAAATGAAACCCGAGCCTTGGTTTTGGGATTACGGGACGAAGCGCCTTACTGCCACCCAGTGGAAGCAGATTTTACTGAGGTTTGCACACCTCAGCTCATACACACACCTGGTAATTGTCAGTGGCATCCCCCAGAAGCCCACCAAAGGTGATCGCGTTGGTGATGCAGCCGAGGTAGATGAATAGGATGGCAGAGATGGACTGAATGTGGAAGCCATCATAGAAGTCACTTGGGAACCAGGGCAGCTTCCTCTTGACATCCAGACACAGGCCACCGAATAACCTGCTCAAGACAGGCCCAAGGGCTGCTTTCTCACCATAAACACCAGTGCAGGGGCAGGAGCCTGCAGAGCCTGGGGCGAGGAAGGGAACTTGACTAGGAGTGGATGGGGACAGGGATCTTTCTACCAGAACGTTTAAGATTGGGGAAGAATTCTCTCATGACTGAAAGTTTGTGGTTGGCGCCATTCCCACTGGGAAGGGTGGACATTGACAGCCGGGATAAGGGAGGGGAGGACTGATGGGACTATGTCCTAACATTCCATGGGGACTGCAAATCCTGGGGTCCACAGATGGCCATCCTCCTCACGTCCCTGATAATCTGCAGGGCACCTGTGCTTGGTAAACACAGATGGGTCCAAATTTAGGAGGCAGAGACATTCCAGATTATTGCACAGATTCACTGCGTCTGCCCAAAAGATATATTGAAATCTGAACCCCTGGCACCTGTGAATATGATCTTATTTGGAAATAGGGTCTTTGCATAGATAATCAAGTTAAGATGGGGTCATTAGGATGGGCCTGAACCCAATATGACAGATGTCCTCATAAGAACAGGGAAATGTCATATGAAAATGGAAACACAGGAGAATACCATGTGATGTCAGAGGCAGAGATTGGAGTGGTGCAGCTGCAAGTAAAGAAGCATCAAGGAGTGATGGCACTACCAGAAGCCAGGAGGACACAAAGGAGGATTCTCCCCAGAATCTCAGAGGGAGCACAGCCTTGCTGAGGCTTTGATTTGGAACTTCTAGCNAATAAAATTAAGATATATTTTAAAAAATTAATGTGTAAATATTCAGAAACCTACATAATGATGTAACAGATGCTTGCCACTAGTTATAGTAGATGTTTGGATTAAGAGAAATGTGGTAGTTTGATATAACGGTGAATCATGCCTCCCTGTGTCCACGCTCCTTTGCAATGTAACGCTTGATGGTCCTCCCAACAAGAGGTGAAGTCTGTTTCTCCACCCCTTTGAATCTGGGCTCCCTGGGCCTACATAGACCAATAGAATGAGGAGGCAGTGGCTTTGAGCAGGTTCTGAGCTGAGAACTCGAGTGGCCTTGCATTATCTGTTCTCCCCACCCCTAGAACCTTGAAACAACCATGCTGTGAGAAAGCTCAGGGTTGGAGAAAACCACATGAAGCGAGAGTCCCAGCCATCTACTGAATGTCAGGGGGTCCCTCAGTCACTGTAGGGCAGCATGCCTCTACCGCCCCACTGGTCTTGCCCAACGTCTCTCCCAGCTTGTCTCTCGTCGTTTCCCTGTGTGATCCTCACCCTCACACTATACCTGGCCACCGTCCTGGAACAGGTTTGTGCTTTTCCTCTTGTGCCCTTCTGTCTACACTGGTTCCGTGGCCTGGAATGTACTTCTCTCTACAGAACCAACTTTCTCAGTCTTCAAGACCAGATCACATTCCAGTTTCTCCATGAGGTTTTCCTCTCCAGCTTGGAAGTACACATTTGGCCATATTTGATGCATGGCATGCTCTGCTTTTGCTGTTCATTACTTATCAGGTTTGTCTCCATAGGCTTATTACAAGCAAGTTTAAGGGCAGGGCCATGTCTGTTTCTTAGATGTCTGTTTAGCCCTCAAAGCACACACAGCACCTTGCACGTAATAAGTATTCAGACATAGGTGCTGATTGAATCCATTCTTCCTCAAAATCAGATATTTGAAAAATCTTATGTTAAATTGCCAACCGAGTAGTCAGCTACCTGTTTGGGGGAAACCGAAGGAGCAACCCTGGGGACATGCGGGGTCTAAGAATCTCCCCCAGGGCCTACCAGGTGCTACCCTTCACCTGGTTTTGGACTTCCCACCATTGGAGTCACTTAGGCAGGGTGCCGGCTCCTGAGAGCCACCACTCATTATTATTGGAAAGGCAGGCCAGACCTGGGGGCCAGGGGACTCATGAGCACAAAGAGCCAATCAGATTCAATGAGGTGGGAGCATGAATAAACTTTCTGGGGCTGGGTAGTGGCATTGTTGGGTGGGAATTAGGGGTCCTAGGTAGGAAGACAAGGAAGAAGGTAGAAAGATGGATGGGAAGCTTTGCTGACAGCATTGTTTGTGCAGCCCTATAGACCATTTCTCACATCTACCTCCCCTTGGGGTGTGTGTGTGTGTGTGTGTGTGTGTATGTGTGTGTTTGTGTGTGTGTGTGTGTGTGTGTGTGATATTTTTGCACTTAGATCTAATGGAATGAGGCATGTTTTAAAATGGGATTTTTGACAGTATATACATCAAATAAAAATGTGCGCTGACAAGGCTCCATAGGTGACCCTGACGGGCAGCTGGTGCTGACTCTGCAAGCCTGGGCTGCCATAAGATGGTCTCAGTTTCCCAACTTTTCTCACTCTCCCCACAAACAAAAGTTCTCACATGTCTGATGTAAGGGGAAAGGACTTACCAGAGAAGAGTTGATGTTTGGTGGCAGCAGGGCTGAAGCATTGAACCCAGTTGTATTTGCTGTGGATGAACACAGGACATGGGAAAGGGTCAGCAGTTGTTGGGCAGGGAGCCCGTGACCACCCCCCGCCTGGGCCCCCACCCTTTCCCATTTCCCTCCAGTTCCTTAGAGCCAAGGATTGGCTTCATTGTGAGGGCAGCTCATCAAAGCCCTCTTTAGTCTCTCACTTTGTCCAGGGGAGGTAGGGAGGATAGGCGGAGCCCAGGCCACAGCTCTGACAGACCATCTGGGCCAGGCTAAGACAGCTCCTGCCTGACACTGAAGGGCTGGCTTTGAAACCTGAGATAAGGAATCTGCTGCGAAGACAAATTTGCTGACACAAATTAGTGAATAATGTGCCTTGTAAATCCCTACCAGCCACNAACCCAAAACAAGAAACAGACAGACTTGAAGCTTTTTTTGTACCACTTTCCCCCGCTCCACCCCTCCATTCACATATTTACCTCGTGTCCGCAGAGGGCACCTTCTTGGGGGGCTCGATTCGGATATTTGGGTCCCATTCTCCAGGGGGGAGCACGATTACCTCATCCAGAAACTCATCAATCCCAGCGATCAGGTCTTCCCGACTGCGGGCTCTATAGGCCACGTAGCTGAAGAGCTGGCAGCGAAGAGGAAGAGAAAAGTCAGGTCTCTGGCCGAGGTCCCCTTCTTACCCACCTCCTGGGACCACACCACACAGCTTCAAAGAAAATCGCTTTTAACCGTTGCTCCTGCTACCAATTTGCTCTCAGTTTTTCAGATGAGAACATAGCCCAGCAGGTGAAATAAACTCCCCTGGGAAACAGCAGACTTCGGGGCATATGGCCCCCTTTGGATCTGAAGGACAGGTCTCCATGTTCCAGCTGTCAGACTTTGGTTGAGTGACTTAACCTTCTCTCTTTCAGTTTTGCACAGAGCAAGCTCATTAGAAAACCTGTGCAGAGCCCAGTCCGAGAAGCTCGGCTATTTCAAACCTGTTTATAACTTCCTAGCCCTTGATTCTTGGAGGGCCAGGTTGCCTCATTCCACACTGTCTCCAGAGTGTTCTGTCTGAGCTACAGGTCTGATCAGATCATGGCTGTGTTTAAAATTCTCTAGGCTCCCCATTACTCTGAGGACAGAGTGTGAACTCTGCTCTGCCCACAGGCTCTGTGTGGTCTCTGACTTGCCTCTCTGTGTTACCTCCTGCTCTCAAAGCTCTGACACTAACTAGGCTTACATCGAACCATTTCCATCCAGCTTCTCTGTCTCCGAACCTTGGCCCCTGTTCCCTTTGTCTGGAATGCCTGCCTCTCAGGCTTGTGCTGGGTCTACCTACCTTCTGCTCGCCTGAAGCTTTAAAGCCCTTCATGCGGGAAGCCTCCCTGACTGCCTGTATTAGAGGTCTGCCTCCCCCACTAGGTTAGCACTCCTAAAGGGCAGTGACCATTCCCTCATTCTTGTAATCCTCAGCCCCCTGCACAGAGCCTGGTACACAGCAGGTGCTCAAATGCGCCTGTTGGGTAAGTGAATGAAGGCACAGTGCTTGATGCAGGAGCCATGACATATTGGAGTACATGTTTTTTGTTACCACTTACATCATCTACCATGAGGGTTGCAATGGCTCGGCCAATTTCATTGTAGGACTTTGCTTTCCCAGAAGGTCCCAGCAGTATGAACAGAAATCTGCAAAGAAGATGAAGGAGGAGGAAAGAGAAGAAAAAATAGAAGCAGGTGAAAAAAAAGATTCTCTGGCCCTAAATAGTATCTACTCTTATCTTTTTTTTTTTTAAAGATTTTATTGGGGAACTGGGGGAGGGAACAGTGTTGGGGAATCAGGGAAGGGGAACAGACAAGTTGCTGTCCTTTGTTTCTTCAGTCTAGTTGTGGAGGACATCACTTCACTGGCCGATGTTGGTGTCGTGATCATTGCGCTCTTCCTGGCTGAGGCAGGTCGGTCACCAGCCATTGGATGGCCGCTCACAGCGGCTCACGGCAGCTCTCACAGGCTGCCAGCCACTCAAGGTAGCTCACGGCAGCCCACTGCAGCCCCACTGCTGCCTACGCCATCACCAACAACTCACAGAAGCCCAGCTCCAGGTCGAGCTGTTGTTCACCATCTTAGCTGTGGAGGGCGCAGCTTCGCTGGCCCATGTGGGATCCGAACCAGTGGTGCTGCTGCTCAGAGCTCGCGCTCCCAAGCCAACTCTGAACCAACAAGCCACTAGGCCAGCCTTACTCTTATCTTTTTAACTGGCTGGAAACTTGTCCCTTCCCCCATTTAATTCCTGTATTTGCTTTGGAGAAGCATTTCCTCGTCACTCCCACTAGCTCCCCCTTGAGCATCCTCTCTGTGCTCTGGTGTCCCAGAGCCCACCCAACAGCATCTCTCCCAGCTGTTGGCTCCTGCTTTCTAATGATTATTTTATATCAACTCCCTAAAACTCTTCCCTAGTCAGAAGATTTTCTTCCCCAGCCAATTCCCTAATTTTCCTTCTATGTTTTAGGGGCGTCTTCACCAGCATGGCGTGCTGACTGCATGAACAGCTGGCTGTCTGAGGGCAGGTGTGGTGGGTGAATTTCAGTGGTCCTCACCTGGTGGGGACGGGCACCTCGGTCACTCCTCCCAGCATGGCCGACTGGATCAGACGCACGAAGGCGATAAAGGGCTGGTCCAGGAAGTCCACCTCGCCCACGAGCACGTTGGAGGCTTCTGAGTCCTTGGGGATCTTCTTCATGAATTTGTTTTTCCTCTGGTTAAGGAGGGGAAGGAAGACTCCCAGGGTTACTCGCAATGGTTTCAGTTCTCACTCCCTCATCCCTCTTCAGATCACTGTGGAGGCCTAATTTTGAAGAGCTTTCCCAGCATTTTTCAAGACACTGAAAGAAATAACCAAACATTCTCCTCCATTGTGCAGATGAGGAGACTCAAACTTGGTTAAGTTGAGGGACCAACTGAGCCTTTTTAGATGGGAAGGAACAGGCAATGACTTGATCCCTAAGATGTTGCTTGATGGATAAAAACTTTGCTCAACTGAAGTGTGAGCTGAGGGGTCAGAGAAGACAGCCCTGGGCTTTCTGGACATTAGGTCTCAAGGCCCAGCCTCTGAGGCTCAAGTAGACAAGAGTCTTGGCTCTTACACTCCAGCTGCCCACCCCTCCCTCTCTGCCTTCACCTTGGGTGGCTGCAGAAGCATTGAGTCCCCTTCTGATGGCCAGGGATGATGTGCTTTGTTTTTCCTTTGCCATCTGCTTCCTGGCTGACAGGAACCCCTGGGCCATGCCTTCAAGTCTGCAGGAGACTTCCTGGGCCCCAAGTCACCCCCAGGAGACCTCCCAGGAAACTCATAGCTTCTGAGACTTTCCAACTGAGACTGTCTAGGTGCCCTCTCTCCAATCCCTCTGGCTAAGTCTGTTCAGGGCAGAAAGGTTAAATAGGCAGAGTGAGTGGGGTCTGATGGAAGAGGTGCTGGCGGCAAGCCCTCTTCCCAAACTTACTCCCATTTTCTGCGTTTATGATGACATTCTTAGGGTAAGACACTGACTCCACCTGAGTCCTCTTTTATGATAAAAATGCCTCAGGGACGTCACATACAAGCTCACATCTTAGGATGCACTCATTTTTCAGATTGCTTTCCCTTTGGGCAACAAGGGGATGGGAAAGGGACAGAGATAATTTTATAGAGAGGGAACATCTGGCAGACGGGGCTGGCAGAAGTCCACTGTGGCCAACAAAGGAAGAAAGGGCCCAGAAGGTGGAGATGAGTGCTACAGAGAGAGCCTGTGAATGCCACGAATTTGCTACCCATTCCTCCTTGGTTGGAGTCTCTCTGTGGGCACAAAAATGCCTGCTTCTCATAAGCTCAGCAAAGATACAGGTTCTTTGTTTCTTTTCCTAGACTGAGGAGGGATCAGTTGTGGGCATGGGTATGGCCAGCAGGTCCTGCCCCTGTGGGCCCATAGCTGTTTCCTGATTCGTTCATGGTGGGCGTGATACACGCTGGGCTGGGTGGCCTACCAGCATGAGAAAGGGCTGCACCCTTATAATCTTTTAAATTCAGCCCAAAAAAATAAAACTCTCTACAACCACCCAGGCAACAGCCCCGAGGACCCTAATGTAGTGAGAACAAGCAAGGATAGGAGTTAATGGGAAGGCCAGAGTCCCCAGAACTCATAAAGTTCCTTTGTCCCAGCTGCAGTCAGCTGATTCATAAGCAGCGTTCTTCAGGGTGGAGGACTTGGTGTACTTGGGCAGCCAGTTCCCTGCCCTCTCTGTGCCCTCGAGCATCAGGCAAGGAGCGGGTCCAGGGGACAGGAGGAGAAGAAGAGTGGCAGGAGTGCCCTGGAGAAAGAGGTTTTGAAAACAACAACGCTTTGGGGCAGCCCAACCAGCACACTCATAATCCAGGAAAGGAGAGGAACTGAAACAAGGCCGTGGTCCTCCCTTGCAGGTGGTGACGTGTTTGGTAAGGAGGCCAGGGTGGTGACGTCTCAGAAATGAGCCATGCTTTTGTTCTGGCCACCCGGCTTAGCCACAGTCTAGACGTGGCTCTTGCTGACCCCACTTCCTGATTCCATGGGGACCCTGTTCCAGCGCTGCTGAGTCACCACACACAGCCATGCTGTCTGAATCCACCCTCTGCTCACTGGGCACCTGCCAGCCTGCCCACGGCGGGCATGAAGCAATGAAGAAAGCCTGCAGAGAAAACGCCTCTGGGCTTGCCCTTAAAGAGCACCCACTGGTGGACAAACTGCTGTTCTCACAACAAGCAGCTGCTGCTGCAAAATACTGAGAAGCAGCATCACCTGATCAGTTAGGAGAGCTGGATGCTGGCGCCCGGGGCTGGACTCCAATCCCTAAATCAAGGCAGCATTGCCTGGGGAAAGTGACAGCTAGACATTCGTTAAAATAGGTCGTGAAAGACTTGGACTAAACAACGCTTCCTTATCATGGCTCCACTGTCTATGTGTCTGATTGTAATAAAGTGGGTTCCTCTCTCAATAATATCCCAGAATACTCATTCCTAAGCCACTTCCAAATTAAGGTCTCTAGAGGCAGGCTGCATAGAACAAGTCAAGGTTCCACCACCTTTCGCGGCACGAACTTGGGTATGTTGTTTAACTGCTTTAAGCTTCAATGTTTTTCTGAGTAGACTGGAGATGATAATAGTACCTCCATGATGCACACAGAAAACGCTCCTCACAGTGTGGTGCATGCAGTGTGTGGACCTTATATGTTGGTTGATGCCATTATTGTTATTATTTTGGCCACCAAAGGTCCCTTGGGACACTGACATGAGGAACTGTTTTTGTTTTGCCTGCCACCAAACTTGGGGTGCCTTGAAGGTCTGGTGGTCACCCAAGCTCCTGATGAGTCCTCACCAAAATTTCAGGTTTCTTTTATCACCTTTCTCCTACTCCTGGGGTACATATGCAAGGGGATCGTGAGACCTTCTGCCCTTGAGGTGTGTAGGGGTTGGAACTGAGGGGGGCTCCTCTGGGCTTCCTCAGGGGGCACAGTCACAGGGTTCCCCGGCTGTGGGCCTTAGAACGTGGACTAGACCTGCTTGTAGGATTCTGATCTCATTAAGAGAATTTTAGCCAAGCTGGTGGGAGACAGAAACCAACTTTATCCTGCCCCAGCCAAGACACTATACTGGGCATTCCAATGGATTCACTGCCACTGCTGTCCCTCTCGGAGACCCCATGGCTTGTCTCTACCAGCCCACAACCCCACTCCATCGTTAAAGGTACTATGTGTCATGCAGGAGGTGAAACTCTGCGTGTTGCTTTTCTCTCTCCAACAAATCCCAAGCTCAGAAACTGCTGGAACCTCATCTGATCATGCTTCTCTGCCCCCCACTCCTCCCAGGGCCTGGCACAGAACCAACACTTGGGGATCAGTCAGTATGGACTGGGCAGTGTCACCAAAATAGCCCAGAGACTCCACCCAGGTCCTTCCTGTGGATTCCTGCTCCTTCATAGGACTAGAGTCCTCCCCGTAGGGACTCCCTGCCCTGGAAACCAAAGGCTTCTTCCCGCCCTGGCCCTCCACAGCAGCCCAGTGCAGAGGCTCTACTACCTGGTCAGTGTTTGGAGTACGAGGAATATCATTCATGCTTCTGCTCTGGACGTGACCTAGGAGACAAGGAAAAGAACGTCCATCAGGGGAAGCCAGGCTCTCGTACGTCCTTTTTCCTTGATCCCTACACATGCTTCTCCTGTCTTCATAACCAAACCAAGACACCCTTTCCCCTAATCCTGCAGCCCCCTTGAGCTAGCCTCCTCTCTCTTTTCTTCCTTTCAATGGCAGCTTTCTTAAAAGAGTTGCCAGACCCCAGATTCTACTTCTCCCTCCTCACTCCTCAACCTGCTGCGTTCTCATCTCTACCCTCCACCCCACCTTCTTGGGCAGAGACCAAGATGTCTGCCCCTGGGGGTGGGGAGGGACACAGACAGGTGAGGTGCCAGGTGTCACTAAGCTTGGATTTTGTTGGAGAGAGAAGACATTTCACCTCCGTCCTCCATGACCCATGCAAGTCTTTAAAGATGGGGATTTGGGCTGGCAGAGGGCAGGAAGGTGGGCCCCCCATGGGGAGAACAGTGTGGTGATTTATTTGAACTTCCCAATATTAAGGCAGGAGGAGAAGGTCGGCCAGGCCCAGGGAGCACGCTCAGACCTGATACTTCTCAGCTTCCTGGGGCCTGGTGTGTCCCCTCACTTCCAGAACATGCTCCCTAGGCTCCCCTCCTCTTATCTCCATCTGGACCCTCGCTTGCTGGGCTCTCCCCAGGATCTTGTTTTGCCCTCACCCCCTCCGGAGGCTTTACCCCCTCCGTCCTGGTCATTCACACCACTCCCACTGCTCCCATATCCACATTGGCAGAGGATGCCCAGGTAGGGTCTCCAGTTCAGATCTCTCTCCTGAGTTCTGGACTCCTCTGGCACCTCAGACTCAAAACACTGGGAAACAGAACTCATTGTCTTCCACCAAATGACTCCCCCCACAGACCCTACTCCACCCAGTGCCCCCTGCCTCCCATCCGCTGGCAGTCAGAGCAGAGATCTAGGTGCCAGCTTGGACTCCCCCTTTCCTCACTTCCTACTTCCCCCCAGCTCATCAACTCCCCCACCTTGATCTTCCCTCTGCATTCTTGCTCTCACTGCCCCAAGGCAGGCCCAGTGTCTTGCTTCTAATCTTCTCCCCTTCTAGTTTATTCTTTCTCATATAAAAATTTGAGCACAGTCTGCTCCTGCTTAAAACTTCTCAGGGGTGCCCACTGTCTTCAGAATAAAGTCTGGGACCTTTTGCAGGGTGCATAGGCCCTGTTTAGTGTGACCCTCTTCGCTGTAGGCCCTACCCTCCTGGTGAACGTTGTGTTACCCTCATACACAGCACCCTTCACAGGGCCTTCCTACCCTTCACCTGCTGTTTGTCTCCTTTGTTTGGAATACCCTCCTCCTCCCCAGTGCTCCTGGAAAACTCCTATTTATTCTTTGAGACTCAGGTGAGTGACTCCTCCTCTCTGAGTTTTCCCGGGGGGCACCTTGGGGTGAGGGCAGCATGCACACAACACTATAATCACTTAGTCATGCCTTTTTATCCCCATCCCCACCGCTGTAGCGTGGACACAAGGGTGACCTCATACATAATGAATAACTGAGTAGAAACCCTGTCCATAGACATTCACTACCTGTTGACTTATGCCTCCTGGCATCCCTATGTGGAATAACCAAGTGTGGGGGGGACGGGCTAAGAGGCTCCAGGGTCACTAAGAATGGAGAAAAAAGTTCCCAACAAACTGTGGCTGAGGCCTCAGGCTGGGGTCACACATCCTCCCAAATCATTCTTAGGGCCTGGGAGGGGCATGGCTGTGGGCTGTGCCTGTTCATATCTTGGCATTTTAGTAAAAGTATTTAAAAGTTTGCTAGTTTCACACTGCTCTTTCTTTTCATTTTCCAAGTTCCCTCTTTTCTTTGCCTCACCCGTGATGAATTGCCTGAAAAAGCCCTGTCTGTGACCAGGAACCTCACAAGCCCTCTCCCCCATTCCCAGCACTCAGGGGACTGTGACCCTGCCAGGGTTGTGGTGGCATGAGACTGTCACCTAGTGATGGGAACATTCTCTGACTGTCCTAAGAGAAAGCACCTCACCTGTTTTTAACTGTTTCCAGGAAGGCTTCTCACCAAAAACAGGGTTAATGATCAATTTGATGATAAGAAAGGTATAGACTAAGATACAAATGTTTAGCTCATAGGATTGGGTATTGATTATGCCAGGACTTGGTTTAGAGCTGAATTTTTCAGAGTAAGTATATAGAAAATTATGGTAGTAAAGTAGGCTCTGAGAGTAGCCCAGTTTTCCGGTGAAAGTTAGATTTTTCCTGATGCCTGTCCTGAAAATTCTAGACAGATCCTGGGCTTTATCTCCTCCACCTTTGAAAGTCTATGAAAGTTTACAGTCCACAGCTGCCACAGCCAGTACAAAGCTGTCGCCACGAAACTGTGGCCCAGCAGCAGAGAACACACTCACACAGGTGGCCGTAATGGGCGCTTTGCCGCATCCTCAGGTCCTCGGTGGAGTGGTGCAGGCTGGGGACCGCTGCAAGGCTCCGGGCAGGGCTGCGATCTGGGAGGAGGAACAGAAGGGGTTTGCCTTGGCAGCCTGGCTGGAGTGGCACAGCCTCTCCCATTAACGTGGCACATATTTATCGTCATTTTACCTAAATAAAGTGGACTGCAAGACATGTGTCTTCCCCTTCCAGGAAGAAAGGGTGTTTCGGGTTTTTTGTTGTTGCTGTTCTTGTTTTGGGGGGTTTTGGGGAAGCAAGTTAATAGACTAAGCAAGATTTGAGAAAATATTAGTACTGTTGAAAGTGAGCTAGATACCCAATTGATTAGGCACCAGGTGTTTTCGATGGACTGGCTTCAACCCTGATTGCACCACTTACTGGCTGTGTGACCTTAGACAAGTAACTTAACCTCTCTGTGCCCCAGGCTCCTCATCTGTAAAATAGGGATGAGGAGAACAGTGCATAGTCACCGGGTTATTGTGAGGATAAAGTGAGTTAATGCATGTTGAGCACTCATGGCCTGGAATGCAGTAATACCAAGTATGTATCTGTTGTTATTATGATATGCTAAACACTTCCCCCACTTCAAACAGTTCATCTAAAGAGATTCATCAAGGCTATTTAGCAACTTTATCAACTTTGTCCTGATTACTGCATTTATCTGATTGGTCCAGCAAGGCTAGTGTCTGGGCATCTCGATTCTGGGATATCAAGAGTGGAGGAGGTTTGGGGCGGCTGAGTGATTCAGTTGGTTAAAGTACAGGCTCATAACACCAAGGTTGCTGGTTCGATTCCCACATGGGCTGCAGAGCTGTGCCCTACACAACTAGATTGAAGACAACTACTTGACTTGGAGCTGATGGGTCCTGGAAAAACATGCTGCTCCCCAATAACATTTGCAGTGTAGTAGGGTTGCATGTGTGCATAGAACAAGCCACTCTCCCTAATGGCTCCAGGCTCCGCTAATCAGAGTGACACCAGACGCCAGGTTTACCAGCCCTGCCACCCTTGAGATGATTCGGCCCCTTCTACCATCTTGATGTGCTTTGGCTTCTGCCGAGACTCTTGGCTCTTCTTGGGAGTTCAGTGGGGAAAACTTCAAGCCCTTACCATAAGCACACCATCTCTACAGCATCTTGCAACCCTCCTTTCTAAATTTCCTGTTCGTAGGCCATATCCCAGACCAACTGAATGCAACCCTTCAGGGCAGGGCCTAGGCATTAGGACGTGTTTCATATCCCCAGGTGACTGCAAGGTACAGTCCAGGCTGAGAACCAACTTTCTTCCTAGAAATGGTTCTTCTCTGGTGGTGGGGACAATATTGGGGTGTGGCTGGGGTCCCTGCAGACCTGCCATTGAAGGAGGCTAAGGGATCCCCAGAACCTCAGAATTTCTCCAAGATCATGAAGTCCAGGAAGCTCCCAAGCTCACCCAGGCACTGGGGCCTGACACCACCCCCGTGTGCCAATAGCCCACCAGCATATGCCCAACTCACTGGTGGTGGAGGAGACCGACTTTCCAATGTCGACCAAGGAGCGGTGGATGGGCTTTTTGGTTTGGTGACGGTGTTTCCTCAGGAGGACGTAGCTGACCCTCTCCCGGAGCTCTGGCCGCAGGAGGCCGTCCTCAATTTGCTTCTCAATGACATCATCTAAGTGGGAAACAAACACACCTTGTCCGTGAGGGACAGAATGACCAGGGACATGGGGGGGTCTTCATTTTCATCTGTTGTTTGTTAGATTAAAAGTGAGCTAAAGGAGGCAGGGGATATGGAAATAGTCCCGGATCTGCCACAAACTATTGAAGCTTGGGCAAACCACGAACCCTCAACCTCCTCATATGTAAAAGGGCATGTGCGTGTCCATGGGTGTATGTGTGTGCACACACATGTGGGTGCATGTGTGTATGTAGAATGCGCTATCAATTCTATTGTAAAAAGTAAATGAAATCACACACATAAAAGTACTCTAAGAAGCACAAAAGTACTGTGTTAAATCGTTTTTAGTCCTAACATGAATTCTTTTTAGAAATGTATTTTGGGCAAAACTGCATATGCTAGAACAAAATTCACAAAAAGTTTTAGGGACAATAAGGCAAACCACCCCCCTCCCTTCAGCACTCCACTAAATGAGAGCTAATTTCCTAAAGATGCAAGACAATCCCTTTGCCCTGACAAGAAACAGGTTGCCATGGCAACAGGTGTCTCCATTCGAGCTAAGAAGCCCCTTTCCCTTTTGCTACTTTGCGGATCAGCATTTCAGAGGATGAGCTTTTTCTCCGTTGGGACGCTATGTGGGATTGACACTTGGAGCCACTGTGACGCTGACTTGGGAACAGCAGAAGCCTGGTCTCTGCAGAATCAGACAGGTGTCAAAGGTGTCACATAGACTGAGGGTGGGCATGAGGCGGGAGCGGGGAGGGCTGCCCAGGTTTGCGGGACCTCAGCGGTCCCTGCCTCACCTATGATCTGTGGTAAGGAGCCACTGTCCAAATCGAGCAGCACCGTTCCCGTCTGCAGGCAGGTCCGGAGCTCGAAGAGGCTGTGCAGGGACAGTGTGGCCACGTGGGGCTTACTCCAACGTTCGCCTCCTTCCTCTACCTTTTCTTCAAACTTTATCCACCTGGAAGGGATAAGGATGGGGCTCAGCGTGACCATGCCCTCAGGGGGAGCTCCTGGCTGGGTCTCCTCATGAGAGGGGTGTCCACCTGCAAGTCATGCTATGCATGATATGGGGTCATTGGTCCTAGATTCACGGGCAGAGGGTTTCGTGGGGGCCCCCTCACTCTGTCTTTTACTCCTCATGCTCAAGGCAAAGCGGCATCCAGAGAATGACCATAAATGGGCACAAGGGCTCTTGGGGAGAAAGAGGAGGTGGAAATGTTTTAAAGTTGGATTTGGTTACGGTTGCACAACTTTGTACATTTACTAAAAATCACTTAAATATACACTTAAAATGAGGGAACATGAAGGTATTCTATAACAAAGCTGTTCAAACAAAGTTTCAACTGGAGCCTGGTTACCTGGGGCTGGTCACACGTGTGGTCAGTGTGACCTTATGGGATGTGGTTTACTGGGGCAGAGAAAGAATTTTCTGACAAAAAGTATTTCCCCACAGGTTCTACTGCAGGGCCTGAGGTTTCCAAGCGTCCACTCTGAATTTTGGTTCTAAAATTTCAGGTTAAAACCCAAGTGTCATCGGGGGGAAGAACAGAAGTTAAACCAAAAATTTGTCCTTTCGAGAACCCCTGGAGCCATAGGCTGGGTGGAGGAAAGGAAAGGCCTTGTGCAGAGGCAGACTGGCCTATACCTCCCCTGAAGAGGAAAGCACCACGTGGCCTGGAGAGCACCTAAGAGAGAGAGGTCAGCTAGCTCAGCTTTGTAAGATATCAACCCCAATCAGTGGAGAGCTTCAAGCTATTCCAATCAAAATCCCAAGGGAGTATTTTTGGACTGTGACTATCTAATTCTAAAGTTCCTCTGACAAAGGTGATGTCAGAATGGTTGGGGAAAGTCTAAAAAAGAAGAATGGAGATGGGACATGCTTCTAGCAGATACAAAAACTTGCTGAAAAGCTTGAGCAATTAAAACGGTGTGATTCCAGTCCAGATAGAGACAAAAGGATCATGAGACAACCGTCACGAAACAGAACTGGGCCCCCACAGAAACATGGGTTTTGATGGAGGAGTTGTCTAAAAGATGACCAACCTAGGGGCCAGCAGAGTGGCGCATTGGTTAAGAGCTGGCTTGGGATGCCAGCTCTGAGCAGCAGGGCCCCGGTTCGGATCCCACATGAGGGCCAGTGACGTGACATTCTCCACAACTAGACTGAAGAACAAAA